ACATATTATGTACTTTAAATTTAAAACTTACGTATCTTTTATAAAATGCAATATGAAGTTATTCCAACAAAAAAGGTTTACAAACATTTATAGTGGGGCCCCCAAAATCCGGGGCCCGAAAACGTTGCTTCCAGTTGCTTCCCTGTAGTTACGCCACTGGTTCAAAGTGCAGATAAATTCACAGGTCGCTATTGTATACTTGTAGGCTATAAAATGTATTTTATTCTTAACGATAACTATACTCTGGTCTATACTGAAACACATTATTGTCACAACATTCTATTAAAAATAATATATATGTACGTTTTTCCTGAAAATACTTATGATAACTTCTAATCAAAATGAAATAAGAAAAATATATAACCCAAATATTACATCGTTTAACGAACTTTGACGTTATGCACTGTAGCAATTCTACATTTATAGCCTAAATTACTGGCACAAATAATACGTCCTAAAATGTTTAAAGTAGTGCTAACCTCCACAACGCATGCAACATTGTTTCTGTTCACAAAGTATTAAGTATTTCTCTGTTTAACAATTGATACTTAATTTCCACCATTTCAGAAAGCTTTTTGCTAATATAGAACTTTTGATTTCTATTAAAACAGAAAGGTTTTTAGTAATATAGAACTTTTGACAATATGACCGGTTTTCACTGATCACTTTGAGCTAACTCTAATCATTTCTCTCGTATTCAATTTATTTGCCCTTGAGTGTACTTATCTTGTGTATATAACAATGCTCAGTGTATATCCTACCAAGCTAGTTTAAGCGAACTCATTCATTCCTTTATGTTCAAGTGACCTTGTTGGAATCTTGTTGTTGCGAGTTATAGAATACGGCACAGTAATTACTAGCATATCTTCATAACACCATATGACTCGAGGAATATTTCCAGATAAATAGTTTCTTAATTGAAAGTTCACCGAATTTAGATCTATTACAGGGAATACATACATATAATATATTACGTAAGCAGTATACTTAGAAAAATGTAGTTATAAAATTCTAAAGTATTATCTAAAACACATCTATCATACCATCATATTAAACTAGTAATCCGCTTTTGTTTTATGATATGACCTACTATTTAGTATATTATACTGTACAAAGGTCGCTTCTCGACCTTATGGCTAAGATCAAAGTGTAGTATCTGTTCTTATCAGCTTAACATCTGATAGATCCTCCATCGGAGGACAACAAATGTTATACTGTACAAAGATCTCAAATTTTTATTTAAATGTTACTTCAAGTATTTATACCAAATACAATTTTAAGATATTTCTGGCTTTCTTGATATTTTTGTGTAAAGGTTTTCATCTATGTTTATATATTTTGAATTATGGGTGCAGTAAGTTAGCGCTAAAATATA